AAGCAGACTGTTGTGGATATCTTAGACAACATAAACCAAGATGTGCAGTTCTGGGTCCCTAAGTTCTAGCCCGAGGCCAATAACCTTAAAAGACTGATTCTGTTTGTTCCAATTTGGTTAATACTATGGATCTCAGCAGGAAGTAGAAATACAAAACTAGTATTCAGCAGGAAAGACACTGTTGGATCTCAGAAGACACGGTTAATTTAGCAGTGTTCATAGGAAGCATCCTTTAATGAAGCTTGGAATATCTACAAAGCTTAAAGCTTTTCAAGTTGCATATCTTACTAGAGCTGCTCATTTATCATTAGGAGATTTAGCGTACCACATACCGTGTATTAAACTTTCTAATGTGGAAGAGCTAAGTTACAGCAAATTGAAGTCATATTTCAAAAGCAAAATGTTACAGTTTCTGGAATGCTATCCTTTAATTAATAAACCATTAGAGAGAAAGGATGAACTCAAGTTATCAACCTGAAGATCATACAGAGGTGGCTGCTTAATATTTAAAGCAAACTCCTCATTCCATGTTGGCTCTTTTGTCCTGCAAACATTAATTCATGAAATTAACAATTTTCCCGTTATTGGATGATGTTTCAAGATTGAAATAGTGCATAATTTGAACAAAGAAAAGGATAGCTTTATTCTCCAACAGAAAATAGCAATTGTAGACCTTTTGCCTTCTCGATGACAAATTAAAAGGATTAAGAAGCACGGAACTTCAAATAAGATATTGGTGGAATAATCACACTCAAGATAACAACAGAATATGAGTTACGGATGAAAATTAATTGAATTCTACTTAATCCAGTATAAGTTTTTGCTAAAAATTTGATACGTTTCTCAAACCGAAGAGAAGACTGAATTTAGCAACCATAATAGACTTTCTAGACTCTCTTATTAGTTACTTTATCATTCGGCTTATGCAAGCAATACTTGCACAGGAACATGTTGACTACATGCAAAGATCCTGATTCATTGTTAAGTAAACCTACAAGATCTAGAGAAGTTCCAACTGAAAAGAGTAAAAGGTTGCAGTATAACACATGACCAACTACCTACCCCCATTTCACCTTGCTTTTGACAACTTGACTATCTAGCTGTAACACCACATACGGATCACTCGTTCCCTGAAATTTGGTTAGAAAAGTAAGCAATTAAATCAAAACAGGAGTCAGCAAATTAAATAAATGCATAAGAAGCAATCATTTGAATAAGGAAAGTACAGTAAGGCACGTTTCAACTGAAATTTGATCATTTGCTAATATTAAATGGCAGATACCTTACCCAAGGATCCATAGCAGGTAAATTGAGACCTTTCTTTAGCTTCACGAACAACTGGCCATCATAAATTTCACGCACAAATGACCTGGAAGATGGTTGTCAATTATGAGAGAGAATTATCAATCATGATCCACGCCAAATCCTACTACCTCCGAATGAAACAGGCATATCCAACTCATTTGCAGTTGCACATGCACAAATCTAGTTTTGGGCAAACTGACATATTGTCTAAGGTGATTTTGATTTAAAAGAAAAAGCAAAACAAACTAAGCTGAATGAGACAAAAACAATCAGATATGAGCATTCTTCATAGCCGTCACCAGTGGAACATACGTGTGCCCTTTACTTGATCCGACCAATTTAACAGACCTATAACTCAAGTTCCTACAGTTTAAGTTTTCCATTTCAGTAAGAAGAAAATAACTACATACTCTGAAAGAAATATGGTTTTGCAATTAGCCGCATCCACCTCAAGCTTTCCGACATTGTCCTGATCAAGCAATATCAAACAAAGCAAATTGGATCAGACTTGGAAAATAATTCAACAGCTTAATTACTTTTTGCTTCATCAACATTTCAAGATTTGTAGAATATTTGCAAGCTTAATTTCCTTCTAAACAAAATTTAGTTCAACGAAAATCCAGTTAGGCAAGTGATCATCACCTTATATATGTTTATGATGAAAACATTCCCTTCATTTACTATCATGAGTTTGTGGGTTATGACTACTATAGGGAAAGCACATTTATGTTCATTTCCTAAACTAGAATCGCAACAGAGTGATGAGATGCCAAAACAATAATATGAATGAAAACGAATTACTGAAACTCAAAGATCACAACTTTAAGGCAGCACAAAATCATACTTTACGAGCATGTCCTCTATGACTTCTACAGCACCAAACTGAAAAGAACCCACAATGCAAGATACTTTGGCAAGCAATTTCCTTCCTCCAATCCACAGCTAATACACATCATCATGCTTATTTACAAAAAATGAATCAACAGTCGATCAATCAACTCCAACTCAACCCCAAACTAGTTGGAGTCCACTATAAGAATCCTCAATATCTATTCACTCTATTCGAGTCCATTTTCAAAAAAAAAAAGACTACATACATATTAACATTCTTATTTACAAAAAAAGAGAAATTTTTAGCCAATCAATCAACTACACCTCAATTCCAAACTAGTTGGAGTTAGCTACTACAAGAATCCTCAATATCCATACACTCTATTCAAGTCCATTTTCAATTTATTAATAAAGAAAGAAATAGAAAAATGAACAACTACATACCTATCAACACTCTTATTTACAAAAAAAAAGATCGAATTTTTTAGCCAATCAACTACATCTCAATACCAAGCTAGTTGGAGTCAGCTATTAGAATCCTCAATATCCATTTGCTCTATTAGAATACAATGAACAACAACAACATGCACAGTGAAATCCCACAAGAGGAGTCTGAAGAGTGTAGAGTGTACGCAGACCTTACCACTACCTCATGGAGTTAGAGAAGCTGTTTCCGAAAGACCTGCTCTATTAGAATCTATTTTCAATTAATTTTCTTAATGTTTTAAAGTTTGATAATCAACCAACTGAGCGACTATGATTCTCCTATTTTCGATTTGCGAATAAAGAGAAAAACATAAAAATGAACATATAAAGATTGAGAAATTTACTGGAGGACTAGTATAAGCTTCAAAAGCAAAACCAGCAAGAATGACAGCCAAATTGATATCAAAAGGAGGCCTTTCATTAGTCTCCTTCTCCTTCTGAGCTGATGAAAGGGGTAAAAGTTCACCACTAGCTTGACAACAACAAAAGAATGAATCTTTTGCACCAAATTTAGAATAACTAAACAACCCATTAAGCTTTCTGGAGAAAAAAAGCCTTTTTGAGAAAGAAACTGAATTGGGGTTCTTGAAATGGAACAATCTTGGTGAAGAAGAGATGGGAAAATGGAGATGAGTTTGCAGAGTAGCCATGGGAGGAGAGTGAAGATGAAGTGGCAGTTGGGTGTAATTAAGTGGTGGATTTGAGGAGATTTTGGGAAAGAAAAAATTGTCCAGTGTTAACCAAAAGAATCTAAGAGAGGATTTTTTTTATTATTTCTTTTTGGGAAACTATCCAGTTTCTTCCAGATATCTTATTATTCCCTCCGTCTTATTTTATATGAGTTTGTTTGACTTGATACGAAATTTAAGAAAAAATAAAAAAAAATTAAAATTTGTGATTTAAAATAAGTGATAGATGTTTGGTTACCTATAAATTATTTCATTTAGGGTAAAATGAATGTTATAAAGTTAAATTATTATTAAATATAGAAATGTGTCTAAGTGAGTCATATAATCTGAGACAGAGAAAGTATCCAATTTTCTTAGGTTTTTTCAAAAAAATCCCTACAAAAAAATCTTTATTTTGAATTGGCATAATTCATAAACGTGTTGTTTTACTCCACTTCAGTTGTCATATATGGTCTTCAACTTTAAATGTGCGCACGTAAGCACTTACACTGGTATAAAGTTAAACAAAAAGACACATATGTCCTAAGTAGCGTCATGTGTAGCGTCTTACGTGTATTATATGACGTTGTCTACTTATACATCTTTATATAAATTTAAGAGTTTACACTTGTATAAAATTAAACAAAAAGACACATATGTCCTAAGTAGTGTCTTACATGTATTATATGACGTTGTCTACTTATTTATCTTTATAAAAAATTAAGAATTTTTGTGTTCACATACAATATTATGTCGTTTGAATTTTACTTATCATCAACATTTTGTTTAATCTTATCATAATTTACATATTTTATCATATATATCACATAATCAAAAAAATAATAATAGTAATATTAGAAAAGAGTTGTGAGGCATTGTTTATAATTTCATCAATCATTCACTCATTGGCTGTTTTCCTAACATCAATCCCATTTTATGATATGAACTTATTTTATTCTATAGTTATTTATATTGTAGGCAGACCCTAATAATATACGAAGGATCTTCAATATCGCAATCATTTTAATTCAATTTATTTTATGATTTCCTAAAAACTATGTGCAAACAAATGTAGGTATTTGATCCCGCGATAGAAATTGAAGTTGCTAAAGCTAAGTTGTTCCTCTTAATTTTCTTCCGATAGAGGATTTTGGTCTATTGGTAATATCATAAAAGAGTGTAGCATAAAATGTGTGGGTTAGACGCACGTCACGAGATTGAACCCTGCTGCTCTAGACATATGTTTGGCATTTTGATGGAGAAGGGTAATAGAAAAGTGAGCTCATTATTCAATTCTAAAATAAGTGAGACTTGTTCAAGTGGTTGAGCATCTCCACCATCAATCAATAGATCGAGTGAAAAGCAAAGAACAAAATATCAATTAACAAAAATAAAAGAAACTTTCTTATTACATACTTATAATGAGAATTTCTTAATGAGAGAAATCTCAATCAATAAAACAAAATTCACTATAACACCAATATAAGGTGCATGGAATTTTTAAACAATAATTAAACCAAACCTATCAAAATCATCTCACTCTATAAGAATCATAATTCTTTTTGTGAGAGATCTCACAAACTACTAATATTATTATTTTTTCACTTATGCCTAATAATTTAAAGCATATATGAAAATTATAGAATTAAATGAAAAAATAATTAAAACTGAGATTAAATTGATAAATGTGTTTATTAATTAATTATTTCTCTTTTTCACTTTTTGTCTGATCCAATTCCAAGTGTGTTCTTCACTCCATCAACTGCACCTTGAGCCATATGGATCACTTGCTCTCCAGTCTGAATAATTACAATAAAATAAAATAAGAGAATTATTAGACATATTATCAATAATTTTTTTTAAAAAAGTGAAAAGTCTTGAGTCTATTAATAACTTTTTAAAATTATTTAACTTGACAATCTAAAGCTCTTTTATACTATCTTTATATTTTTATTCGTTATTTCAGGTAGCCTTACTTATATCATTTTTATAGACTACATAATCCCAAGTTAAACTTTTGTCATTATATTTATATGTATAGAAAGAAAAGTATATTATACGTATATCGATAATTACTTCTCGTAAATATATTTTACATCTTGAACGTCCCTAACGAAATTCCGACTTTGTAGTAGTGATAAATAAATTACCTGCTGAAGGAATCCAGGGTTGAGTTGGTCTTTGTTATCCTGAACAGATTGTTGAGCACTTTGGGTAGCACTGTCAGCCTTATCAGCCAATGAATGTGCTCTATTCTTTGCTGATTGTGCTAGTTGTTCGGTCTTAGCCTGTTTCATTTGTTATTCGTTAAATTTAAATTCTGAGATCGAAAGAAAAGGGAAAACGATAATGGGAAATAAAATCCACACTTAATTGTATGAAAAACTATACTGATACTAATAGACTTTAAGTCGATGTCCTAAAGAGCAGTAACAATAATAATTATTACGACTCCGATTTTGCACCACATGGGATCATGGCTCGATAGGTTATGTTACAATTGATATTACTAGATTATAAGTTTTGATAATATAAAAATAATTTTGATTTGTAACGAATATTTATTATAGTATTACCTGAGCTTGGCCGTGGTATTCACCGGCTTGTTGAGCATTTGACATTTTGATTATTGATTTTGAAGAATTTATTTTTAGTAAATAATTGTAGAAAACTTTATTTTTTGAGCTTTGGTATATTATATATTTTTTGAATATCTTATAGGTTGATTAGACCTATTTATACAGTTTATTGGTTTATTTGATTGATGATCCATTTTTTTCTGCTTTGGACTTGGTTTTCTGTGGTTAATTAAAACAGATTTTGGTAATGACTCTAAATAGAACATAAATTTATCATAGTTTAATTGTCAAACAAAAAAAGACAATTCAAGATATTAAGTTCTCATCATGCGTGAGAGTCGGATCATAAAAATTTATTTATTGTACTTTTTGAAAATTAAGTTCAAGACATTATATCAATGTGTGTATTTTTGAAAATTTAGTACTCTCTCCATTATAATTTATTTATTTTAATTATTTCTTAATCTGTTATATATTTTAAAATTACGTAAAAATATATAATAAATTACAATAATTAACAAAATAAAATATATAAAAATTCATAATTAAGTTATGTTGTAAATATTTTTGCTTTAATTTTTAATTATTAAAATTAAATTATTTAATTTGATGTAAACATCGCGTCTGATTAAGTGGTATCTCCCTACCCCACCACACACACCTTTTTCTTGTATTACTTCACTTGGAATTTTAACATACATTAGAATATTCAGACCTTCTCATCCACAATCAAGCAAAACAGAAAGAAAAAAAAGAAGAAAAAAGAAAAGAAAAGGAGTGAAACTATTTATACCTAACTTTTATATGGTCCCAAATCATCTTATTGAGCAATTGACTTATTATTCCACTACTACTCTACTTTATATGCTGCATGTGACAGTGATTGAACACGGAATTTAAGAAAATAAAAAATAACGCATATTTGAGCGTTGAAAGTGTGTAATCGTGTATATACATTTACGAAAAAGAAATGAAAATTCGTTAGTGGTTGAACGGTTTTTATAATTTTGTGCATAAGAGTCATGTGAAATAAAATTAAAAGTCAGCTACTATAAGTTGTCTTATTACTTTATAATGGAGATCCGTGAAAACAATTTTTTTTATGATTTCTTTGCCACAAAATTTAGACACGATAAATAACAAAAAAAATAAAATTAATGTGATGCGTGATGCTTAGACAGACGTACCATATTTAACAACAATCACTATCAAGGCGGATTTAGAGTCGTTTGGTTTGAATTCAAGTTATGATGAGATTAGTTATGATTGAATAAGTTATGCTAAGATTATTTTTTATTGAGTGTTTGATTTATTGTATTCAAAATAATAAATCTTAAGAACAACATATAAGTTTACAAAAATATCATTCATGGATGTGAAAAGTAATGTATAAAAAGTGTTTAAAGGGACATTTTTGTCATTTAGTTATTTTATCCTGGGATAAGTTATTCCGGGATTACTATATCACCCATGGGAAGGGATAACTTATCCCGGTACTAATTATTAATCCCGGGATAAGTTATCCCGGACTTGCCAACCAAACAACAAATTAAGTGACACACTAATTTAATCCCAGGACTATTTTAAGTTATCCTTCACACCAAACGACCCCTTATAGTATAAGGGGCGAGTGCATCTAGTAATTTCGGCTCAATATATTGTAAAACACGCTAAATTGATATAAATAATGGGTTTAAAGAATTGAAATTCTCAATCCGCCTCAGACTCTGATAACAAGAGACTTCACGAGCACATGAAAACCTTATGGACATGACTGCTTGCCATTACTAAAAGCAAAGTATACAAAAAGTTTTGGAGTTTGTGCACGTATCATGTGCTAGAAGGAATGGGTTGACATTAAAAAAATGTCATCCCAAAGTATGGGATAATAAGAGATGGTAAATAGAGAGGAAGTAGATGGGAAAGTCTTGTAACAATCAATAATGTTAAATTTTTAACCGTCTCGATTAATTTGAATTTGCATTAGGTCTATGATAAGATGCTTCTTATCAAAATATATTTGATTCTCGAGTTACTTTAGGTTAAGAATGAAGATATATCAATCATTCATTCAACAAACGAACGAAAAATCAAGAATATGCAATAGTGTGCTATCTGGATTCAAGAGTTGTATTTACTACTGAATTATGTATCATTTCATTAAGACATAATGTCTAACTTCGAAAAAAATACACGATGGACAGTTTTACAAACATATAAGAAGAACGATAGCGAGCTATAAGATCCTTGGTAACATGTTGAAAAACTCCATGTTAGCTAAAAGGATCAAAATTACAGTACTATTTGACAACCATTTGCTTAGTGCATGAGGGCTGCTGCAGCTTCTTGCACTAACGGCTGAGTTATATGCACGAAATGCTCTGCCTCCCTCTCTACTTGTTCCCGGCATTTGTTAGCGTCTTTTCCTTCTTTCATTTTCTTCACAAAGGCAACGAATCGTCTCCAGTTATCAGGATGGAATAGGTCAGGATTCATCCTCAAATATGTAAACGCGCACATCTCTCTATCACCTGATTGATCGTTGATATTCAATGAGGATGCTTGAAGGATCTGTTCATGTGCATAATCATCGTATCGTGGCAATGCATTCTCCCCAGCAAGTGGAACTTGAGCTTCCTGAGTTGCTAATGCCACTTGCCTAACCAACTTCTCAGGTGCACATTGGGCATCTTGTGGCTGCTCGTGGTCACGCATCTCAACACATGTGAAGTTGAAAACTGCACCGTGGCGGGCAAGCATCTGGGCGATGGGAAGGTAACCATCTCGGTTACGGGTGTTGTAGTATCCAGCGGTCAGCTCAGGGGCATGGGACCTTGTTCCATAGTGCCAGTGAATACCTGCAATCTTAACTGAAATCTTAACACCCTTGTCCTCGAATATCGCCTTGGCTGATTGCAGTATCCTCTCACCATGGTTCAAAAGCATCTCAGAATACCAAGTGAGGAAGAACTCCCCATATTGACTATCCCATCCACCACCTTCCTTCTTGAAAAAGTTGGTATCTTCTGGCCAATTGTTGTACTGACCAGCATCGGTTGGACCGGTGTGTCCCCATTCAGGCTTACCAAAAGCTTCTGCTGCACCCTGTAAGCTACTGATCATGTACTGCAGGGTGATCAATTTAGAAGAACAAATCATCAGTAATAATGACGACGTTAAAACTAAAACACAGCATAGAAAACAGAACTTGATTTATACCTTGTCATAACACTGAAAAGCACCAATTCCAGGGAATTTCCATACTCCATCTTTTTCCGGATAGGATGGATAACGGAGCTCTCCAGCTGGACCCATCCCGACTTGAATTTCCTATATCACACAAGTCATTCGGATAAAAAAGTGAGCTTTTTACTCTTCGATCAAAAACTCGTGCAGCATAGCTAAAGGTCGAAAAAGCGTAAAGACTTACCACAATGGTGTCACCTAGGAGATTCTCAAATCTATCTCTAAACCCTCTCATGAAATCAGAATAGCATTGGACAGGAGTCCTTCCTTTAAGAACTGGAAGTGTATCGCAACCAAGCGATACATATTCAAAATTCCTCCTTCCCCACTGATCTGTGTATGCAAGATCTGAATCCTTCTCCATCTCCTCAACAACCCACCTTGGAAGAGGGATCCTGAAATTTCAAAAATTTACTTAAGCACGCCAGAAAGCAACGCCAAAATATTGCGATTAATAGAAATCAAACGCATAACAAAACTCGAATGCTAATTAAACAAAGATAATCCAATTATAAGCATAACATAGATTCTTCATGAATTTTCCATATTCCATTTTACCCTTTTCAGGTTGATTCCAATCTATCATAAAGTCATTTGCCTTTTCAGATAAACTAGTTCTTTAAATAGTTCATTTAGCACACCATATAAAGGAGCATATTCTCACTATCCCACTAAAAGAAGATAACCTTTTTTTTAACTTTCTTCAAATTGATACCTTTTTAACCTTTTCCAGATCCTATGAATCTTTTATCTAAAAGTATTTGTTGAAGAGAAATACCACCTCGACAAGAAATGATATCTCTCCACTCGATTTGAACAACCCTTCTCCCTTTAAACTAGCTTTTTGTTATGTGAATTAGGTCAAAATTCTAACATGTTATCATAGTCAGGCCACATCCGATGTGGAAATATCTCAAGTTAGCTTTTGGGGTGTGAGTTAGATTCATATTTGATTTGACAGTATTCATTATTCTAAAGTAAGTTAGCTTTCCAACAGATCTAGATTTTGAATCTGGCAGTCATAAATTTGTGGTTAAACGAAGTAAAAATAGCAGCGGAAAATATACATACGTGCAGGAATCACCGACGTTTCCACCACATTGATGGAAAGACATCACAGCTTGAACTTTGAGTCCATGTTTTTTCGCCATTTCCATAAGCTCAGCATAACCGCCCCAATTATACTCTCCCGGCGCATCTCTCTCCACCAATCCCCACCACACATCCATCATAATCCCTTCCACACCGGCGCTCTTCAACGCCTGTAAACTCGCATTCATCGCCTTCTTCCTATTCACAGTATGATCCATTTTCACACTATCCAACGGCATCATAACAAACACCGGAACTCCTTTCTCTTTCTCCGACGAATTCCTAACCTTATATTCTCTCTCAACTACCTCATCTACCTGAGCTTCCATCAACGCTTGACACGCTAATAAATCCGGCCGCATTCCTCCTCCCATCATCGGACTCATCGGCGGCGACGGCGACGGCGACACCCTGTCAATTTCAGCTCCTGTTTTTTGTACCGATACTTTTAAATTCGTCATCGGTGTTCTCCACATAGCTGATGTAGCTGAACTCCCCTTCGCCGGAACTTCGCATGAAACTCCACCGGTTTCCGCCGTGAGCGATGTTCCTGATAAGGCACCGATCTGGTGTGGCAGACTCATTGCCATAATAATAATATTAATTTTTTTTCAGATTAAAATGATGATTTTTTTATTTTTTTTGTTCACCAAATTGATGGAGAAAATGTGGAGAAGGTGGAGTTAAAATTGTGGTTTATTTATAGAGTAAGTAAA